TGTGCCCTGACCCGGAATCCTACCCTTGTCCTTTCGGTCTCCAGGCCAGCGCACAACCCGCTGAACCACACCAGCCAAAGCTAAACTTCTCTTATCAAACTCGTTTCTGTCCACCTGACACGATGGCGGTCCTGCACCGTAGTTTTGCTCACACACGTCATGGTCTGGAATCTCTTTCCCTGCTTTGCTTGCTTGAACACTCGGTGTTAACATTCATTCAAATGCCACCTCTAACGCTGTATCTCTGTCCCTCTCTCCTCCCGAGAAAGGTACCCCTCTCTTCTTGGGTCATACCCTGCGTCATTGTACATTTTCAGCATCTACAGTTTCTATTTTGTTCTTTTCTTTTCTTCACTTATAAAGTGTGAGCATTGAGGGAGCTAAATACTTCATAACGATTTCCTGCTATAGCCTCACCATAAAGCGCAGTGGGTGGTGCTCACTGGGTTCTCCTTAAATTTTGTACATTGAACAAATGTCCAGGTCTCAGCTCAAAAGAGCCAAGACAGCCGATGACCAGAGTCAGAGGGCTCAATGAGAGAGTGGCTCAGGACAGACAGAAAATGCGTGAGAGATGGTCCAAGTGATTGATCTGGATATGTAGCTTGAGGTGCCAAAGGAGTTTTGGCTCCAGGACTGGAAGATTTCTGTAGCCTTTTTGGCGATGCTGAGTGGCAAGGGGGATGCTAGGGTGTGACTGGGCTGTTGGCCACAGGGTTGCACACACTGACGCCTTTGACAGCAAACAGGGCTGCTGTGAATTTGGTCCCTGGGACCTGGGCGTGGTGTCCTGAGGCTCATCTCCTTCTCATTCCAAAAACACCCAGGACTTGCACAAGCAGGGCCTGCCCGGGGGGCCCTTTCCACACACCTCACCGGACGGGGTGGCTGATCCCCCGGGGAACAAGAGGTCAGAGGTCAAAATCCCTCATCACCTGAGCTGGAAACCAGTGGAAGACAAGAAGATGAAGAGCATGTGGTGTCTGAAACAGGTTTACAGGAAATTATGCCACATCCTTACAAAGGAATACTATGCAACGATGAACACAGTACAAAATGAAAGATAGCTTGTGCACTTCACAGTGAGCAAAAGAAAGCAGACACAGAAGACTATATGGACTATGTTTCCCTTCGAGTAAAATTTGAAAGTCGGCACTACTGCAGAGTTCAGGGTATACGCTTAGGTGGTAAAATAGAAAGAAAATAAAGTTCAGACAGTGGCTTATGAGGAGGAGATAAAGGGCGCAGCAACTGGAGGGGCACTGACCACGTTTTGTTTAATGGCCCGGGTGGTGGTCACAAGTCTTAGGGGTAATTCATTGGACTGTACATTGTGGTTCTTTGTAGTTTTCTGTAAGGTTGATCTGCATCTAATGGGGAACATAGATAGAACGTGGGCCAAAATAATTACTTCTAATTAACTGATTGATTGATTATTTTTATAAGGGGGAAGGGAGGAAGGAGAAGTAAGAGAGAAACATCGATGTGAGAGAGAAACATTGATCAGTTCCCACTTGCACACTCCCCAACTAGGGACTGCACCTAAAACCTAAGCACGTGCCCTGACCAGGAATCAAACTGGCGAACTTTTGCTTTGCGGGACGACGCAAAGCAACCCGCTGAGCCACACCTGTCAGGGCCCAAAATAATCATTTACATGTGTGAAAATGCATAAAGTAAAAAGAAAAAATACATTCCTTTTGTGTGTGTGTGTGTGTGTGCGCGCGTGTGTGTGTGTGAGAGGTGGTGAATAGAAACTGAGATTAAAGAAAAATAAGTGGAGAGGGATCTTACGAGAAATCTATGATGTTTAGATTCCAGAAGCTGAGGATTATACATAGCTCAGACTGAAACTGAAGCCGAGATGGAACAAAGGAAAACTTAAATGTAAACATTAAAAACTAATTTTCAGTATTTTGACATTGTTCAAAACTCAAAAGCTACACCAGGGCTCAAGTGGGAAGGAAGCCTCAGTCCCGGCCCCAAGGCACCGCCCCTACCCCCGGCCCCACCCCTGGTTTCCTGTGTACCCTTCCCAGGAGGCTTGCAGTGGGGGCGAGATTAATAAAATCAGTGGACCAGAGAGGTCTGCGCTGGTGAAAATGTGGACACAACTGGGGACAGCAAGGCCAGGCTGCAGCACAGAAGCCCGACCGGGCTCAGCGGTGGGCCTGGTCCCAGGGGGCCCCACGCCTGACCAGTCCCGTCACTTCGGGGACGCCGGTGTAAAGGCGCAGGGAGCAGGAACATGAACTCCTCGGTGGGTCAGCAGGGCAGGCCCCGGAGGTCCCAGGCCTCATTCTGATCTCCACGCTCCTGTTTCCCCGCACCTGGACCAGACTTTCCACAGCAGGTTGGGACACAGCAGACCTCAGGGCACGGAGGAAGGCGGGACATCATTGGGGACCTTATAGGGGGTCAGCATCATGGGCGGGGAGCCAACTTTACCTGATGCACTGCCCGAAGGCTCGTTCCATGGTGGTCAGCAGCACTGAATCTAGCCAGGCACTGGCTTCCTTGCTGGGCCCAGGCAGGCCCTGGAGCTGCAAAGCGAAGGTCAAGAGTGTGGGGCTAACGGCAGGACTCAGAGCTCTGACCTCGTGTCTTCCCTCACCAGCAGGTGCTGTGCTGAGCCACTGTTCTCTCTGCGTTCCCTGGTCTGTCACTGTGGGTCGTGACACCTGTTTCCCTCCAAGGGCCCCAGTGAGGACCGGATGTGAAGAGAGGAGTGCGGTGACCTTGCGTCCCTCCCCAGGACTTTGAGCCCACAGGCCCGGCAGCGATCCCAGATGGTTCGTAGTGGGTAACTAGGAGTGAGGCCTTGAATCAGGCTACCCCGGGATCATGTCTTGACCTCGCTCTCTGCTAGCCTCGTACATGCGGGAAGTTTGCTTACCTCTTAAGCCCTCAGTTTCCCCTCCTCGACACGAGGGTAACCGCGCCATCTCATGAGGTCATGAAGGTTTCGGAGGAATGTCAGTACGGCAGGTATGGCGATGCCTGGCACAGGGAAGGGCTCGTTACCCAGTGGAGAGAGCTCTGTCAGCTGTCAGAACAAACATGCGGATGGACGGGCGGAGGAGCAGACTCGGACCGAGCTGCCTTTCAGAGTCCCATCCTCTTTACGTCCAGAAACCCAGTTCTCTCCACCAAATTACCTGTGCTGGTATGACACACCTCACTTCCCCCCACCCCCAGATCAAGTTAGGGACAGAAGAAGGCTCTGTCCCTTGGGAGTTGCCAGGAACTTTACCAGGAAACGAGGAACACTCACTCCTAGGTGTGTCCCACCCACCTGAGTGGAGCAATGGTCCAGGAAGCAGGCAGCAAACATGGCCCCAGGCTCCCAGCCCCAGGGAGGAGCCAGGCTGAGCCTTATAAAGGGATCGGTCTTTGCCCAGATGCACAGCGCACTCATCCTTCTCCTCAGTGACACCTCTTCAGCTCTGGTAAGTCTGCAGCTGACTCTTGGCCGGGAGGGGTGCTCGGGGCCCAGCGTGTTCTGCTGGGTGCAGGAGCAGGGAAAGCAGCGATGGGAGAGGATTCGGAGCCTGGGTGCAGTCCCAGCGCTGCCTCCAACGGGGCTGTGAGGCTTCATCCCACTGAGGTCCCGGCGTCCTCATCTACAACAAGATGACTGGACCGGGTGCTCCCCGTTGCTCTCTTGGCTCCTCTGGGACAGCGCTTGGGGAATCATCCCCGGTGGAAGATACAGGAATGATGCTCCCTGCCTCTCCTCCTTGACTTCTTCTCGCTCTGGACTCACCTGACTCTCAGGCCCTGGGTTGGTGAGGACCCACTGGGCACCCCAACCTCGGAGGACAGTGGGTGTTCCTGCCAAAGCCTTGAAGGCTCTCCTAAGCCCAGGCCTGGGACGCCCACCCACCTTGCCCTGGTGAGAAGACCTGCCCCTACAAGGATCGGGGACTGATCAACCAGAGGTTCCCGGCCTCCTCCCCAGCTGAGCGAATGACCAGTGACCTCCTGGCACGGGGCTCAGCTCCGGCCTTGCACAAGTTGGCAGGGGCCTTAGGTGGTTGCCCCTAGTGACAGACCAGCAAGGATCTTCTCCCAGATCAGGAGGTGATGGTAGTTTGCATAAGGTGCCCATAGGAGTGAGCCACGCACACTTCCTGGGTGCTCTGGAAAGCCTGCGGTGTGAGGGCTGCACTGTCCCATTTCTCTGCTTGGGATCCAGACTGTTGGTGGAGATACCAGCTTTGGGAAGTCAAACCTCCTCATTTACGTGCGGCCTAGCCTTGGAATCCCAGAGAGCAGGGAAGTACGACGGTCCGATAATTGTCAATTACAGACAATCCGAAGGATACTATCTCGCCACATTCCCCTCAATACCCTAAACCTGGGGCAGGTATTTTTGTTTATTTAAAATCTGATGCCACCCACGGTCCCCGGTCCCTCTTTTTCACGGGTGGACACGGTCCAGGAAAGCCTCTGCCAGAAGTCAGGACAGGGGGCTGTGCCTGCCCACGCTCCCCGTCCTGCGCACACTGATCTCCGGGAGGCTCCTGCAGCCCATTTCATGCAGAGCTTGCTCTGTGTTTAAGAAGGGCCCCTGAGGGCTTCGCTCCAAGAGCAGCCCGGCGGGTGGAGGTCAGGCCGGATTAGCAAGGATGCTATTTTGTCCCCGTGACTTCAACCCTGACGCTGATGTTGGAAACGATGGATTTGATGTTCTTTGATGAGCGCGGTCGTCGAAATGCTGCGTTTGGCTTGGGACCTTTTTGGTTGGTTGACCCTGCCCTCTCTGCTTCTGAGTCCTGTGGTTCTGTCCCCAGTGGGCTTCCGTGTTCTCCTCCTTCTCCTCTGGACCCTGACCTGCGTGGGCTCAGGTCTCAGCCTTGGTCCCGCCCTCCTCCTACCTCCCAGGGTGACACACTTCCTTCTGCTCCAGCTGAGCCTCACTTCACTGGACGCTCAGTCCACCCCATTGTCCTAACTTAGAGACCCTCACGTAGGGGCAAGGGTAACAAAGGTCACTGTCCTTCTCTCCGGCAGCTCCTTTGAAAACCAAGATGAGCCACACTGCAGCTGAGAAGTCCGTGATGGGCATGATCGACCTCTTCCACAAATACGTCAAGCCCGATGACACGATCGACAAGCCGGGCCTGCTGACGATGCTGAAGGAGAACTTCCCCAACTTCCTCGAGGCCTCTGTGAGTCGGGGTGGCTTCTCCGGTTGCTCGGGCCCTGGCGTGGCTGAGGGCACTTTGCTGGGAGCCCTTGGGCGAGTCACTGCCATTCTTTGATCCTCAATATTCTCAACTGCAAGAGAGCTTAACAGGACTTTACATCTGGGCCTAATATCAGGATGTAAGAGAGTATACAAATGGCAAAGAGTAAAGATGTATGGATATCAAGGGTAGTCATTAGGTGGTCAAACAGGAGAGTGATCGAGGGAGCCCCGCCCCCTTGTCACTCTCCGCTGCCCAGGGGACTGAAGCCCAGGTGCTGAGGCTCCGCCTCTGGAGGCTTCTGTTAGGTTCCCTGAGATTCAAGGCAAGGAATGGAAATTCCAGCGCAGATAAAATTTGACACCCCCCTTTACAGTAAGGAAGCTCATGTGCAGACCTGGTTTAATCTGACCATTAGAATGCACTGAACTGGTTACAAAACGGGGGTTACTAGGGAACACCGAGACTAGGCGAGCAAGGAGAGGGAACTGAGCGTGCAAGGTTCGGGAAGCCACAGAGGTGACGGGAGAGGAGGCTTGGGAATGAAGAGGACCCGGGCAGGGCCAATTTTAAGTTGCTGCGTAGGACTTAGGGCAGGCCAGGTTCTTGAGGTGGGTGGGGGGAGTGGGTCTGGGTCTGGAGACCACCCACCCCTCTGGCTCATTCATCGGCGCAGCTCTGCGCCGAGCGGGCTCCCCACCACCAGGTCTCTCATTCCCCGAGACATTAGGCCAAGGAACCTCCCTCAGGGAACCGCAGGGAACAGCGGCGGCCTCCCCACTCCCCCCCCACCCCGCCCCCTCATCCACAGCGGCTACACCTGCACGGGCCCCAGGGGCTTCTCTCCCTGTCCCGGCCTCTTCCTCCTCCTGCTCCTCCTCCTATTCTGCCCACAATACTTTTGGGACTGAATTTGCTTTGTTTTGTGTCTTTCCCACAGGACAACAAGGGCAAAGATTACTTGTCCCATATCTTTGAGGACAAAGACAAGAATGGGGATAAGAAGATTCAGTTTTCCGAGTTTCTGTCGGTGGTGGGGGACATCGCCACGGACTACCACAATCAGAGCCACAAAGCGGCCGCCAGTTCTGGGGGACGCCAGTGAGCCCCGCCCAGCCCCAGGCCTCCAGAGACCCCCAGAAACAATAAAGTGTCTCCTTCCCCACATACGGCCTATTTCCTGCTTTCCAATGACTATTTATGCCGTCAAAACTGCCACTGCTTGGTGAACCTCATGGTGGGTTCTGCGTGGGTTGGATTAGCCCCTAAACGGTGCCAGCAGGGTGCCCCCCTGCGGCCTTCAGCATAACTGGCCACCCGCCTCAGCAGGGCCTCGTGCCCACCTCTGCCCCGGCCCCGTCGGGCGGCCAACAGGCCCGGCCCCAGGGGAGCAGTGCAGAGCCTCCTGCGGGCCGGCCGTGCTTTTCCCTCTGCAGCGCGGAGCCGCATCGGGGGCTCACGCACCCGCGGCGAGCAGGTGGGTCCATGGGCGGCCCATGACCCCCCCCCCCGCTCCTGCCCAGGGGGACCCCGAGGGCGTAGGGGAGATGGCACCACCGAAACAGGGGTTCCATGGAGGGTGTCGGGGACGCGTAGGCACTCGTCGCTGCGAACAAGACACTCAGCAGTGCCCAGAGGACTGGATCCCTTGTCCCGTGTCCTGTCCTGTGCGTCTGTGTGTTTTAGCCCGTGTGGGCGTCCCTGGGGAGGCGAGCGAACCGCCCTGTCTGCTGAGCTGGTCCTCCTAATGGTTCGCTAACTGCCGGGAGCTGGGTGTCTGGGAAATTCACCTGGTGATGGGTGTGCCAGGGGTGAGGAGCTCCAGCTGGTCCTGGAGTCCAGGCAACCTCTGGGCGCCCAGCGAGAAGCCAGGGCTGAGGAGGCGCCGGGAGGAGAGGGCAGTGAGGGATGAGAGGAGAGCTCATGCTGAGTGTCCTAAGTGACAGTTCCCTTTACCTGCCATCGGAAGGGGCGTGTCACCCACAGGCTCTTTGAGGCCAGGCAAGGTGGCAGGGATCAAGCCTTTAGAAAGAAGCAGGACACAGGGGCTGCCCGAGCAGAGGGCTGGCTCTCCCGACAGACGGGGGTCTCTCCATGGTGCCCGGAGGCCGGTCAGGGCTTGTGGGGGACCCCGTCCCGCAAGGTCCCCTGATTCGCCGCAGAGGAAATATCGAGTCTTTCCAGACACTTTTGCCTGAAAGGGAAGGGGTGGCGATTCCCTCTAGTGGAGAATGCCCCGAGCCCTTCTCTGAAATGGCTTTTATTGAGAATGGTATGTGCAGGGGTATACAGCATACATGCAAAGCTTATCAATCCGCATCAGAGAGCTATAGATAACAGTAAGAGGAACACATAGCCCAGCCTTGGGTTAGGGTCTGTGAGACATACTGACGCCATACGATTATTAAGCTAAGTTTCAGGGGCTCAGTAATCTTTTCTCCTGCTTGGAGACCAAACACTTGATTTTTCCTTATCAGGGCAGTGCCAAGGAGAGCAAGCTTCGGTAACTATAATGCATTCTTTAGGCCACATCTCCCATGGGAAGGAACCCTCGGTGCTCTGTCTGTCTGCTCGAGGCTTGCAGGCCCTTTTTCAAGGCCTGGCTCGCGTCAGGCGACAGTTCCCGATACCTCACAAGCGCTCACCTGTATAACCAGGGCCACTTCTGGACGTGTCCCTGAAGCTTCAGCAGCACCCCTCCTGGAGTCCCACGTCATCTGCTGTCACTCCCTACCTCCTCTCAGTCTCCGACTAACCCTCAATTGGGCCAACGTTCTTCAGGGAGGGATTAGGCAACTGTTTGCAAAACCTCCTTCTGTCCCACCTGCTAGAAACTCATAGGAGGAGTCATTTGTTATGTAGATCACTCCTCCGTCCACTCCCTACTACTCAGGTATATTTTGCCAGACACAAGGCACAACTGTGCAGACACCTGGAGCCAGGAGATGCTGGACCGAGAGGAGATTGGAAAGGCTGGTGCGGCTGTGTTACTGAACGCAACCAGTAGGGCGGGGGAGGGGGGATCCTACCGCTCGCTGCCTACCCGGGAAATCTCCAAAAATGGAGTTCGGTGGAAAGGAAGGAATCTCTTATTTAATGGCAAGTTTCTGCCTAAAATATCTGGGTAACAAAAGAAAAGGGAAAGGAAAAGTCAGAGTATGTCATCAAAAACAGTATGACATACGCAACATTATCTCATCGCATCCAAATCTTGGAAGTGACCTTAGATCACTTTGCATCTTCTTAGGAGTCACCAGGGCAGTCCACACTTAAAAGGAGGGCACACGTCGGCACTACACACAGATGTGCCCACCAGGAGGTGGGGATCGTGGGGAGCCCCAGAGTGGAGAGGTAGAAGGTTCTCAGAGGTCCATGCTTTGCCCAGAATCACAGACTGGTCAGAACACAGGGCCAGGGATGAACCCGGCTCTGTGTCCTCAAAGTTGAGGTCCTGGCTGCACCGAGGCTCTCTCAGGGGCTCGGGAAAAGGCTGTGCTGGTGTGACCGTGTACACACATGGAGATGGCGCAGAGGGGAGGGAGAGCCTTTGGCAGAGTAGTCGGGCACTCAACCAATCTGAGGAGAGGCTGGGTCAGGGAACAGGGGAATGCACCCTTGTGCACAGCCCACCCAGGCTGGAGGAAGCTGGGGACCCCTTGACGCAGAGCTCATGCTTATGCAGTTCTGCGTTTCACCCTCACTGAACACTTGGGACGCAGAGGCCCACAGAGAGGCAGGAATTGGCCAGGGCACATGGCAGGCCGAGACCCGAGGTCAGGCGCCTCCGACCTTCCAGGCCAGGCTCCAACTTCTCCCACAGAGTTAGCTGGTTTGGAAATTAGAGATCCTAACACATTGGGAAACTCTTGCCTATTCCTGTCTTTGGGGGAGCCGTTTTCTTTGGGACTCGGTACGTGAGCAAGGCACACGTGCGTGTGCACGCACACATACGCTCACTCAAGATGTAATGACTATGGGAGGGACACTAAGAGGAGCAGACACAGAGGAGGTGACAAGAGGAAGAGGTTGGGGGCACTACCTACACGTGACAGCACTCCTCCAACCTTATAGCTATTTGTTGTCTCACACGTGCCCGGACCGCCAAAGACGTACGTGCTAGAACGACCCCCCGCCCCCCACCGTGCAGGCAGGAGAGAGACAGGCCCTGACACGCGCTGTGGCTCATCCAGGATCCAGAAGAGGAAAGGGTGAGGAGTGAGTCTGAACTCAGGTCTGTGTCCTCAGACCTGGGACCATAGCTGCCCCACACCTCCTAGAGGGCTGTGGAGGGGGGCAGGGCTGGTCTCACTGGGTACAGAATCAGATTCCATGGCACAGAGGCAAGAACAGTCTGCAGCCCCGGGGGCTACTGGGCATCTGTTATTCAAGGAGGGGTCTCGGGGAAGGGGGTCTCAAGGAACTCAAGCCATTTCCCAACAGAACTGGGAATCCCCATATCGGACACCCCCGTTCTAGCGACAGCGCCGTAGCCAGATCACTTGGCAGGAGACACTTGACAATTTCAGATGTTTTCTTGCCGTTTCCCCACTTATTGTGGCTCTTGCTTCCATAAAAGTCGCAGTGAGTGTTTTTCCAAACTGCCCACATTGATTCAACCCTCATCCCTGACACCGGGAGCCATTTTCCAGGAGATCCCCTACGGTAACACAAGGCAGCCTCGGTCAGGCCAGTTCAGGCCCAGCTGCCTCTGTGCACCATCCCTGGGAAGCTCTCATACTCTCCCCTCCTGTGGGAGAAGAGGGATGTGAAGGGAGGACCGCCCAGCCCCCCGGCAGGAACGGGCGGGTGGGCGGGGCATAACCTAGTGATCCGGGCCTGATCACCCCCCAGGACAGGGCCGGCAGAGTACAGAGGGGCTTTCTGAGGGGCTTCTTATCTGTGCCAATGAGACCCCTAGGTCCTCAGGCTCTCATGTCTTTTCTGCCCTTGGTGGAGGTCTGAACAAAACAGCGTGTGTGTGTTTTGAGTCGGGAGCGTCACAAAGGCCTGTGAACCAGCAAAGACAGGGCTCTGAGGCTTTCCGCCCGGCAGCTGGCACCGTCTTTACAGAGGTCCACCCAGGGGGCCGGGCAGGAGCTGACCCATGGCACCCTCTACACCACCCTCTGCCCCACGCTGCCGAAAGAGTAGGGGGGCACTCAAGGTGAGTGCAGGTGCCCCGGTGACCCAATCCCCAGGGCCCCATGAGGTCAAAGGAGCCCCGAGTTCCAGAAGTCACCCTGCTGCTCCCCGAGCTCCTTCCTGGAGTCCTGCTCCAACGACACCTGAGTCCCCATCTCATACCCCAACCCGCCCTCTCTGCCCAGCCCCTTCCCGGCCGGATGCCAAGTCCCTGTCTGCATATTGGTAGGAATATCAGAAAGGAGGCTTTTGTACCATCTCACCTCATGTTCAATCGAGAGTGTTTCTGCATTTTTCTGCAGATTTTCCCTTTTTAATGCCCATGCCCAAGTGTCCGTGTTGGCCTGACAATCCTCGCACACTTTCTCTCAGTCTTAGTAAGCATCGTCATGCATTTCCCCCACCAGGACATGGGGCTCATGCTACCATGTCTGTTGCTCTGCCATTTTCTGCCCTGGAGGAATACATCCCCGCGGCCCCTCCAGATGAGGTGCTGGGGTCTCTGTGGACTCTACAACCTACCCTGAGGGGGACCGGTTACCACGGCGACCCAGCCCTTCGCTGTTGTGGGACAGTGGATGTGATCCCCTTCTGTTGCCATTTCAACGGTGCTGCCCTGAACATCCCACACGTCCTGAATTGCTGGCCCCTCCCACCCCAGGAGAGGTCTCTGTTCCCATGTTAGAATGGGGTGTTTTGTCAGAAATCACAGGATGACGCTGTTGATACAGGGAGGCGCTGTCTGTCCTCAACCAACAAAATGTGACCTAAGATGCTATCGGTTTTGTCATTCCCCTCCTCCAGTTCTGGTTTTCCTGCCAAGAACCTCTTCGGCCTGCGAGCATTTGTGTCCCGCCTCTTGCCATCAGTCACTGAGGGCCGGGGGTTGGGTCTGAGCTGCCATCCCACCTCGTGGTCCACGATGCGGCTTTTGACTGCATGTCCCTCTCTGCCCCGCCCCAG